GTTTAAATACATATAATGTATGCACTGGTCTTAACAGTGATCATTAAGAGTTTAAACAATATAAATAAATTCTAATAATGGGAGCTGTTTAAGGTAACAAATGAAAATGTCTTGTAAATTATCTGCACAGGACACTCCATCCTGCAGCAGAAAATACATAGTATTGTTAAAATAACAATAGCTAAACAAACTGTTCAATAATATATATAAATTTTATTATCATTTATTTTTCTAGCAAAACCTTGGCTCTCTTCCCTTATCAAATCAAGGCTCTGTTCTTACTGAAATTTGTTTTGTTTCTTTTAGAGATTAAAGTCAGAACATTTACTGTTTCCAAAGTACAGTGTCTCTGTACTTTGTATGTAATTGAATTTAGCTGGAAACACTTTTATCTTTCAACTTTAATCACCCTAAATGTCTCTGGAAAAACAATTTCATTTACAACAGGCACAGTGATTATTCTCTGTTCATTAAAATGATCTGTTCAAGTGGCACTGAGTTCTTGAATTGTTTTTCTAGTTAAAAATGCTAAAGATGAATATATCACTATAAAATTATTTGCTTCCATTTCTTGTGCTATTACAAGCTTTAATTAAATTAAGTGAAACTGATAAACACATATTACCATAAAGTAAAATTTTTATTCTTTTTGATATGTGAATAATGACATTTATGAAGTTGCTAGATTTGCAGTGACAATGGAAATATGACTTACCCCTATTTAGAAGGTTTTATGGAGTTTATCACAAACTTGTGTTAAGTTCGATTTAAATAAGTTATTTTAATAGTTTCCAGACAAAATAACACAAGGAAAAAGGCATGGCTGAAGTATACAATAACAATGCTTAGGGCAGCTTAAGCATCCAAAAGAGAAGGAAGAGAAAGCTTAGATCTTAAAACACAATATTGGTGCTTAGATTTTTTTTTAATGTCCACATACGTATAGTATTTGTTGAAAATATAAACTTACTAAATACATGTTGGGAAAGGATAAAGAGGCTAAGACTCCAGATCTAATTATAATGCCACTTCTTCATCTGGAGTTTACTTAACCATCAACCTTAGCATCTGGAACATATTAGGAAGCCAGTAAAAATCCACTGAGCACGAACACCACAAAGTTCATGCTCTCAAGTGTACAGGTAGGCCCAGGCTTTCACTAAGAGCTTCTTTATTCTGAATTAACTCATAATTCTTTTAATCTTGGATATCTAGCTTCTAGTGTCACAGCACATTAGAAACAAGTTTTTGATGGTATTCAACACTAATGGAAGAAACAGAAAAGTCTATAAACATCGGAAACAAGAACTTAAAGGTTGGAGTTGCTTAGAAGACAGAGAGACGTATAAGGCTTCCTCAACTCCAGATGGAATTACATCCCGATAAGCCCACTGTAAATCGAAAATATTTAAGTCAGAAATTCATTTAATACATCGAAACTACTGGATATTACAGCGTAGCCTAGCCTATTTAAACGTGCTCAGAATACTTTAATTAGCCTGTAGTTGGGCAAGATCACCCAACACAAAGCCTATTCTATAACACAGTGTTGAATATCTCATGCAATTTATTGAATTTTGTACTGAAAATGAAAAACAGAATGGTTGTCTGGGTACAGAGTAATTGTAAGTGCATTATTTACCTTTGTGATGGTGAGGCTGACTGGGAGCTGCGGCTGCCCAGCATCAAAAGAGAGTACCATGCCACATATCACCAGTCCAGGAAGAGATCAAAATTCAAAGTGCAGTTTCCACTGAGTGTGTATCGCTTTCTCATCATTGTAAAGTCAAAGTCATAAACTGAGGAATAGTCCCTAGTAGACTCAGTATAATAAACTGCTGCTGTTGCTGCTGCTGATACTGTCATCACAGAAAAGTTACCATCCGTTCAATCAATCCCATTTAGATTGGCTGGGAATTAGTAATTTTAGATAGACCTCTAATGAAAATGGATTAAATAAAGTAAAATTTGATGCTTCATAATAATAGCTTGCATTTATTGGGGATTTGCCATACACTAGAAACTGTTGAAAGTTTGACTCATACTCATGCATAAAAGGGATTAACTTCAATTATCTGGAAATATTGTTATATGAAATAATTTCAATACTCAGAGATACTGGGTAGGGCATTATTGTGTTATTACAAACAGCTTTCCAGTATCCAGTCAAGGCTTGTACTTACCTACAGGGACAAAGGGGGAGTCTCTGGATTTCCTGATCAGTCGAGATAACTGGCCTTCGTCCTCATCTGCTGACCACTGGTTATCTGAAGACATTTTTCCTCTCTGGTAACAGCAGGGGATAAATGTGGTTGATGTGTTTAATTTGAAAGAATCTGCGTCCTTCTCTCAATAAGCTCTTGATTATGTTCTTTTGCCTTCATTTGCCTGACATTCCTGCCTGCTCAATTGAAATAAACAGCCATCTTTTTCTTCACCCTTTGCAGTGTAGAATCCTTTCATTTGTTTAGAGGTGAAAGAAAACTTTATAAAAAGAGGTAATGATAACCAGATTCCATAAATACAAAATAAAAACACAGATCATAGTTGTGTTACTCAGTCCCCTTTCACTGCTCAGCATTTGAAATCACTGGGTACCTCAGATCTTCCACAAGCAGAACACAGCTTCTTTTACAAAATATCATTTTAAAAGAACGATGGCAGTGCCAACATAGGCAAAAATACATCCAGATTTACAGGTGATGGGAGAATGATCACTCCAGTTCTGTAGAATATGTAGGGCATTATACAGTCATTGAGATGTTTACCAAACACCTACCACGTACCAGGTGCTATGCTAGATGATGGAAATAATCCTTGTCTACACAGGTTGAATGAGGAAACTAGCAGGAGCAACTAGAATCACAATCGACGTGGTTTGGCAACACCTGAGTCTGTTATCTGTGTCTCCCAGTATTTTCAACCCTCAAAATCCCAGTATGATGGCTTCATTCTATCAGTCAGCTCTTATCAGAAAATGTAACCTGGTAAGTGACAGAAGCACAATACCTTTGGCTTACCCCACCACCTGCTGTCTGTCTCCTGGTGTTCCTTGAGCAGGTAGCTGTAGATCAGAACAGGCTTTGGAAGGCCGGGACATATTCACTTGCAATTTCCAACTAATTGATAATAGGAAAGCCCAGAACTCTTCCCTCAAGGGGGAGTGGCCGGCCGGGATTGGCCCCTGCTGGAAATTCACTAGTAGCAGCACATGGACCACAAACGCTAGGCTTTCAAAAATAACATTCAAGAAAACATTAGGCTTTTAAAGAAGGTGCATTTCCCTCTGCTTTCACAGGGGCGCTTCTAAGTCCCCTCTGTGGCTTTGAGTCCGGCTACCTGACTCTGGGGCCTGATACTAAAAAGAATGGGCGCGGCGTTACAACACTTAGTTTTGTGGGTGGGAGTGGGCAGGGGGATAGCCTTCTGAGGGCCAGAGCCTCGTTGTTTTTTAGGCTATGCGCTTGCGCAAAGGGCACTACCGTGGCCGGGATCCCGGGCTCAGGCG